CATGCTGATGTTTTCATTGTTACTATGTACAACTTACTCTTACTCAGAAGTAAGTCTGTTTTTCTCTGCATGCAGCTACTTGCACAAGAGGGAGGGACTGGTAGTTAGCTAACCCAACCTAATATGCTTCAGCTGTGCATAACCAAATACAAATAACCCATTAAATTAACCCATTAAGATGACAAATCTTAGGGTACTTTAGTGGCTGAGAAAGGCCAACATAAAAAGTCATGTTTAAACTACCTAAATCACAGATCACTCTCTGATTGCCTTCTGGCTTACTGGTGCCACCCTCCTCTGCAGGAAGATAGGGCCCATTTGACTGGCCTGCTTCAGTCAACTGATGGATCCTACTGGATTCCAGATGGAGCTTGGGGTTTTCTCTAAGGATCTGATGGGTGATGCTGGTAAAGCCTTGCTTGCCTCCTGGAATGGGCCAATGGATGCAGCCTTTCCCTGTGGGCCACTCCTGGAGTGCACCTTGGTTTAGCAAGAAGCTCTGGGAGATGAAGAAGCACCAGAAGAGACTACCTCATGGTGATACAGGCAGCAAAACATTTATATTTCTCCACTTTAATTGCATCCGCTGACAGCTGTCCAGACAGCCTGTTTAGCATGACCCAGTCCCTGTTGGATAGAGACAGGCCACAGGATCATCTGCAGGGATGCTGTGAAGCATATTCTGTCTATTTGGCAGATAAAGTTGCTCAAATCCACTCGGAGTTGGATTCCAACTTGACAGGTCTAACCAAAGTGCCATAGGCCCAGTCTGATGGTGTGATCTGGAATGAATTCAAGCCAGTGACTCACGTGGAAGTGGACAGAGTTCCCTATGCAGTTAGCTCAGCCACCTGTTTGCTGGACCCAGACCCTTTATGGCTCATTAAGCAACCTTAATTATTTAATTAAGCTGACGTGGTGGCGCAGCAGCTTAATGACGCTAAAAGTTGCTGGCCAGAAATGTCGACACTTCAGCGGTTTGAGCCCAGCTCCACGCAGCAGAGTGAGCTCCTGCTTCCTCCCCAGCTCCTGTCAACCCAGCAGCTCAAAACCTTACGTGAGTAGATAAATGGGTACTCTCACCCCGGTGGGAGGAAAATGCTGGCAGCGCTTGCACAGATGGGGAGCAGTTGCTGGTAACGTGGAATCCACGCACGCCTGAGAAAGGCGTGAAGCAACGGAAACCCCACCTCCTGCGCTCGCCAGCTGGGCTTTGCTCTAGGAAGGAGGCAATGGCAAACCACTTCCGAAAAACACCTTGCCTTGAAAACTGCAGGGATTTGTCCAGGCAGTTGCCATAGAATCGGTAACGATTGAGTGTGGATAAAAAAAAAAAAAGCAACCAGGGAGGTCACCTGTAATTGGGTCCAAGCAGCGATCTCGGCCTCTTGAGAGGGGAGCTGCCGGTGGCCTTGAAGGAAGCTGCGGTGCATCCCCTCCTCAAGAGGTTTTCTATGGACCCAACTATTTTAGATTTTTAGGGAAGGTAGTTGAAAAGGTGGTCAGGCTGCAGTTACAGAGGACCTGAAGAAAGCAGATTATCTAGACCCATTCCAGTTGAGATTCAGGCTAGGATTTAATATGGAGACAGCCTTGGTCACGCTTGTTGATGATCTGTGGCAGATCTGGGATGGGGATGGTACATCGATCCTTGTGCTCCTTGATCTCTCAGCAGATTTCAGTACCATCAACCACAGTATCCTTCTGAATAAACTCCAGTAGTTCTCTTCCTTTGCAGTTGATTCCATTCAGTGTTGGCGAGGGAAGAGGTCACTCCCTCCTCTGTGGGGTGCTACAGGGCACCCCACTCTCTCCCCTCCTGTTTAATCCCTACATAAAAACACTGGGTGAAATCATCTACTGGTTTGGGGTCCAGTGTTATCAGTATGCTGATGATACCCAATTATATCTCTCGACCCCATGCCACCAAGTAACGTCCTGTCCCAGTGCCTGAGGCTGAGTGGACCTGGATGGGGAGAAACCAACTCTGGCTCAATCCTAAAGACTGAGTGGCTGTGGCTGTTGGGACTGCCCAGATCCTGGGATTTTCCATCTCTATTCCTGAATGGGTTGCACTTCCTCAGTCAGGAGTGATGCGCAACTTGGGGGTTCTCTCGGACTCACGGCTCCTGCTTGAAGACCAAATGGCAGCTGTGGACAAGAGGGCCTTTGCATAGCCGCTTCTGGTGCATCGGTTACACCCTTTCCTGGATTGGTTAGCCCTCCAGACAGTCACTCAAGCCCTTGTCCTCGCATGGCTCGACTATTTCAACGCACTCTACATGGGGCTGTCCTTGAAGACCACTTGGAAGCTTCAACTGGTCCAGAATGTGGTGGTGCAAGCAGTGATGGGCTTCCTTGGCATAACCAAGTGATACCTCTGCTCCACAAGTTGCACTGGTTGCCAATATACTTCTGGGTGCAATTCAAGGTGCTGGTAATTGCCTATACAGCCCTACATGGCATAGCATCCAGCTACTTGCAGGGCAGCTGATCTTCCATGGTTTCTGCCCATCCAGTATGATCCAGCAGAGTGAGTGTGTTCTGGGTACCACTGATCAAACATGAAGTGCACCTTCTCTGTAGTGGTGCCTGATCTCTGGATTGAGGTCACCCCTGAGATATGTATGGCTCTCCCCCGGATGATGTTTGGAAACCCTTAAAGTACTGGCTATTGGGGTAGAGTGGATGGGATTCTCCTGTTTATGATGTTTCGTTTGTTTTTTTGTTGGATTGTCATCCTGTGATTATTCTGTAATTAGTTTTGTACTTATTTGGTCAGTGTTCTATATTTTGTTGTTTTTTATGTTATTTTACTGTTGGGCGGCATCCAAACTGAATAAAACAATAATAAATAAAACCCACTTAAGTTGAGTTTGGACATACAAAGAAAGGACATCGTTCCAGTGCACAGAAGGGCCACTTCCATAATCATCATCTGAATCAGACAGCACAGAGACCGTTCACATAACACCCTTATTCGTTAAGTTGAGTTTGGACATACAAAGAAAGGACATCGTTCCAGTGCACAGAAGGGCCACTTCCATAATCATCATCTGAATCAGACAGCACAGAGACCATTCACATAACACCCTTATTCGTTGCTAAACTGAATCATGATCTAA